TCATTTTCTAAATATAAAAGTGGATTTTTGGCCCGTTCCCTGGCAGAGGAGCGACTTCGACATTAGGACGATCCAAATTGCGTGTGACTGTGACATGGGTCCTCAAAAAATATAAGATCATTAGGTACTTTTGAATTAGAAAACCTATCTTCATTATTTGATACGACATATTTGTTGACAGTGAACTCCTTTATGCAACTTTACTTTCTTGATAATACAAAAAAGTAAAAATGAATAGAGCTTCAGGACTGTAATGTACAATTACCCCCCTCTATTTACACTAAATGGTTCAGTCCGGCCCACTATCAGAAGCAGAGTAAATTGGGTACTCAGATCTTGTACTTGAGTGAAAGTAGAAGTACTCAGATCTTGTACTTGAGTAAAAATAGAAGTACTCAGATCTTGTACGAGTAAAAGTAGAAGTACTCAGATCTTGTACTTGAGTAAAAGTAGAAGTACTCAGCTCTTGTACGAGTAAAAGTAGAAGTACTCAGATCTTGTACTTGAGTAAAAGTAGAAGTACTCAGCTCTTGTACGAGTAAAAGTAGAAGTACTCAGATCTTGTACGAGTAAAAGTAGAAGTACTCAGATCTTGTACTTGAGTGAAAGTAGAAGTACTCAGATCTTGTACTTGAGTAAAAGTAGAAGTACTCAGATCTTGTACGAGTAAAAGTAGAAGTACTCAGATCTTGTACTTGAGTAAAAGTAGAAGTACTCAGCTCTTGTACGAGTAAAAGTAGAAGTACTCAGATCTTGTACTTGAGTAAAAGTAGAAGTACTCAGATCTTGTACGAGTAAAAGTAGAAGTACTCAGATCTTGTACTTGAGTAAAAGTAGAAGTGCTCAGATCTTGTACTTGAGTAAAAGTAGAAGTACTCAGCTCTTGTACTTGAGTAAAAGTAGAAGTACTCAGATCTTGTACTTGAGTAAAAGTAGAAGTACTCAGATCTTGTACTTGAGTAGTACTCATTGTTTGAGTAAAAGTAGAAGTACTCAGATCTTGTACTGAGTAAAAGTAGAAGTACTCAGATCTTGTACTTGAGTAAAGTAGAAGTACTCAGATCTTGTACTTGAGTAAAAGTAGAAGTACTCAGATCTTGTACTTGAGTAAAAGTAGAAGTACTCAGATCTTGTACTTGAGTAAAAGTAGAAGTACTCAGATCTTGTACTTGAGTAAAAGTAGAAGTACTCAGATCTTGTACTTGAGTAAAAGTAGAAGTACTCAGCTCTTGTACGAGTAAAAGTAGAAGTACTCAGCTCTTGTGCGAGTAAAAGTAGAAGTACTCAGATCTTGTACTTGAGTAAAAGTAGAAGTACTCAGATCTTGTACTTGAGTAAAAGTAGAAGTACTCAGATCTTGTACTTGAGTAAAAGTAGAAAGTACTCAGATCTTGTACTTGAGTAAAGTAGAAGTACTCAGCTCTTGTACGAGTAAAAGTAGAAGTACTCAGCTCTTGTGCGAGTAAAAGTAGAAGTACTCAGATCTTGTACTTGAGTAAAAGTAGAAGTACTCAGATCTTGTACTTGAGTAAAAGTAGAAGTACTCAGATCTTGTACTTGAGTAAAAGTAGAAGTACTCAGATCTTGTACTTGAGTAAAAGTAGAAGTACTCAGATCTTGTACTTGAGTAAAAGTAGAAGTACTCAGATCTTGTACTTGAGTAAAAGTAGAAGTACTCAGATCTTGTACTTGAGTAAAAGTAGAAGTACCAGAGTGTAGGAATACTCTGTTACAGTAAAAGTCCTGCATTCAAAATGTTCCTCAAGTAAAAGTAGAAAAGTATTCTCATCAAAATATAGTGAAAGTAGCGACAGTAAAAGTATTCATTGTGCAGATTGGTCCATTTCAGAATAATATATCTGATATGTTTTATAATGATTGATCATGAAAGTGTTCTCAAAGCTGGTAAAGGTGCAGCTAGTTTGAATGACTTTGTATACTGCAGGGTAGCTTGTGAATTTACTCCAGGTGGAACTAAAGTCTGATTTAACACTTGATTATATTTCACATCATTCATCCACATCTGTGAAGTAACTAAAGGTACTAAATACATGTAGTGGAGGAAAAGTACACCATTTACCTCTGAACTGTAGTGGGGTAGAAGTACCTCAAACGTGTACTTAAGTAATTGAGTAAATGTACTTAGTTACTTCCCACCTCTGTAAAAGAGGCACATGGAGATGTAATCTAATTATTTATCAGGTCTGCTGCATTATTTTTATCCATTCATTCACAGATGAAGAAAATGCTTTCAGTTCCTCTTTTGCAAACCGACCATTTTCTGAGTTCCTCTTTTCCTCTCCCGTAAATCGTGGCATCATCCGGTGTGTTGTTATCCGGCTGCAGAGTAAACATGGTCCAACTGTTTAAGATGAAACATTGTTTACAGAAAACATTGATGACAGTCGGACACATCGGAAAGGCTTTGGATTTCTCACAGCTGCTTTGTTGTCACTCATTATTTCTTAGATACAAATATAGTTCCCCGCCGAAGACAAGCCCTGAATGCACCATGTGGACATTTAATGAGGTTTACTGTTATGGTGCAAAAACAGGGCACAGATAACAGGCTTCCCACAATGCTTTGCACAAAACCAGCGTGCAGAATGAGCCTTTTGCTGTGAGGAAAAAGCCAAATAAAAAAACACAAGAAATCAGATAACTTCTCTTTGAGTCTCACTGTGTCTGCCTGAACATTAAACTGTTATTTCCCATAACTCCTACATTCATGGAGGCTCAATTCAACACATTTTAACAGCTATATTTAACTCCTTCATACACTGTCAGCGTGCAAAATCCTGTTTAACTCTAAAGTGGTTTGAACATGTACAGATTGGTGTCTTCATCTGCCATCTGCCATCTGTATCGTTCTCACTTCTCAGAAGCCCAGACATGTTCTTCCATTTGAGTTTGGTTCAAATCCAACAAAAGAACTTGGATTTTCTACATTTTTGGCCACATTTGATCACAGAAACATGGGATTTTAGTGCGTTTTAGTCACTTATTCTACAGTTAAAGCTATATTCAGACCGAGACAACACATTTCTATACCCTGGTAATATATCTAAGGTAAAGACAGAAGCTCTCTTTGTGAGAAACGGTGTTAAATGTCCCCGTGGTGATGCATTTGGCTGCGTTTGGATTTCTCTCGCATCCTGCTGAGGATGAGAAGACCCACACGGAGACGGACAAATGGCCGCCGTGATCACACCAGAGCCTCCTGTGGGTTTTTCACACAAAAGTTGTCTAAAGTTAATATACTCACTATCCAATCACTTCTATGGGAAATACAAATAGCTTAAAACCAATTATATTGATATCTTAAAAAAAAGCTTTTCCAATGGCACTTCGTTTGTTTTGAAAATCCTACAATTCCTGTTGCATCTGCTTACATCAGATTTTAGAGTCCTCTCCTGCTGATGTTCAGGTGTATATCAGTATTTAGTGTCTCTACTTTAAAGAGTCCTCTCCTGCTGATGTTCAGGTGTATATCAGTATGTAGTGTCTCTACTTTAAAGAGTCCTCTCCTGCTGATGTTCAGGTGTATATCAGTATGTAGTGTCTCTACTTTAAAGAGTCCTCTCCTGCTGATGTTCAGGTGTATATCAGTATGTAGTGTCTCTACTTTAAAGAGTCCTCTCCTGCTGATGTTCAGGTGTATATCAGTATGTAGTGTCTCTACTTTAAAGAGTCCTCTCCTCCTGATGTTCAGGTGTATATCAGTATGTAGTGTCTCTACTTTAAAGAGTCCTCTCCTGCTGATGTTCAGGTGTCTATCAGTATGTAGTGTCTCTACTTTAAAGAGTCCTCTCCTGCTGATGTTCAGGTGTATATCAGTATGTAGTGTCTCTACTTTAAAGAGTCCTCTCCTGCTGATGTTCAGGTGTCTATCAGTATGTAGTGTCTCTACTTTAAAGAGTCCTCTCCTGCTGATGTTCAGGTGTATATCAGTATGTAGTGTCTCTACTTTAAAGAGTCCTCTCCTGCTGATGTTCAGGTGTATATCAGTATGTAGTGTCTCTACTTTAAAGAGTCCTCTCCTGCTGATGTTCAGGTGTATATCAGTATGTAGTGTCTCTACTTTAAAGAGTCCTCTCCTGCTGATGTTCAGGTGTATCACAGTATGTAGTGTCTCTACTTTAAAGAGTCCTCTCCTGCTGATGTTCAGGTGTATATCACTATGTAGTGTCTCTACTTTAAAGAGTCCTCTCCTGCTGATGTTCAGCTGTATATCAGTATGTAGTGTCTCTACTTTAAAGAGTCCTCTCCTGCTGATGTTCAGGTGTATATCAGTATGTAGTGTCTCTACTTTTTCACGTTAAATGGAATTATACTAAATATACCAATAAGTGCACTCGAGCTGCAGATGTAAATAAAGACAGTTCTTGTTTATTGACTCATAAAACATCCTTCAAACAATAAACCCATCTCAAGTTCTCTGTACAACGCTTACTAAGCAGTTTTTATTTATATAGAAAACGTATGAGGGGCCGAGCTTAAAATCACACGGCTCCTTCAAATTTAATGGCAGGTACTCTGGAAAAAAAATGACAGCATTCCATGAACAAATATCTTCAAGCAATAAATATGCATTTATAAATAGAGTAAATTTACATCAAAACTAACAAATTAAAGTTCACTCTTCTGTCTATGTGCAACCCTTTTTCTCTGTGTACAAATCAGTTCCTGTCGCCCCCCCCCCATGTCTCAAAACAATCATCAAAAATAACAGATTTTTAAATAATAAAAAAAAAGGGGGAAATGTTTAAGAATGTGTCACTCAACTTTTACACATTACAAAACAGTCTGGTTTCCTAACATACAAAATCTCATAGTGGTGTGTGAGGGAGAGGGAGACCAAGCTCTCAAACGGAATAGAAAAATGAAAAAAACCATCGAGTCAGTAGTTCTTTGTGTGACGGCGTTGCCAGTTAAAACAGAATATGTACAAAAATTCATCATTTTTTAGGTTTCTGTGGTGGTGGTGGGGGTGGGGGGGGGGGTCGGGGGGTGGGGGAGGTTGCATAGAAACACAGCTTCTCACACAGCTGCCGTTTTTAGGAGGAGCTACAAAGCGCCGTTTGAGGACTTACTTCCTGAATATCAGAAAAGATACGAGGTTTCCGAAGAGTGTGCGAGTGTGTGTGTGTGTGTGTGTGTGTGTGTGGAGTCCACGGTGGTTTCCAACAGTTAGCATCAGGAGGAGGAAGGCAGGGGGCTCGCCTGCAGAGACACACACACAGGGAGATGAACACACAGAGATTAGTACACACACACCTCAGGAGACTCACAGTGAAGTGGGAGCATTAAAGGGACAGGTCACCCCTTAAATAAAGACACATTTTCACTTTGAACTGTATTGCTATCGAGTGGTGCAGGAATGAGTCCTTCAAATATGAAAATGAGTCTGTGTTATACCACTTCCTGTCCACTAGTCTGGGTTTCTGAAAGTGTTTTTGGTTAACACACGCGGAAGAGATTTTAACGTTTTATTATACAACTTAAAATACATCAGTTTTTTCAGCTTTTCGGTGTGTTTTGGCGTCACAGTACTATACATGTAATAGTTCCACACTAAGACCGGGAATTGTCGAGGGTTCTTTAAACTCAACTTGAAACCACGGAAAAATATTATCGTGATAACATCATCATTTACCTTCGACCAATACCATTTTTGTAATGTATGAAGCTTGAACTGCATCAAGCCTCACTCTGTTAGCTACTTTAACTAGACAAGCAAGTATGTGCTGCACACGAGTGCTAACAGCTAATGCTAACTAGCTCTCCTCGTGCAATTTCATCACATATTTCTAGTTCAAAACGTAAAATTATCAGGGATAATAATGGGAGCAACACTCGGATACAAAAGGAAAACTATGTATTTTTAGATCCTGAGGTGAACTGTCCCTTACTAAAAAGGTCTCCTATAGCCGCGTTCACACCAAGTACTTTGCCGTACTTAGCCCCGGCACTTATTACCCCAGGGCACTTAGTACAGATCACGTTCACACCGGAATAAGTTCCCTGAGGGAAGATTAGGCAAATGAAGCCGCTGACGTCACTTCTTCTTCTTCTGCTTTGGGTTTACTGGCAGGCCGCAAACAACTTCACGGCGTATACTGCCACCCGGAGTCCCCGGCCGGAAGTCCCCGGAGTTGGGGACTGGCTTCAGTAGAAGCTGCTGGGACTCCCACCAGGGGCGTGGTTTGCAATTCGCCCAGCCAATCAGAACTGGGGCACTTTTTCCCCCCAGGAAAGTACCATCTCTCAGCAGGCACTAAAAATGGGGGTAAAAGTTCCCGGCACTAAATACTCTTTTTGGTGTGAACGCGACATAAGGGGTACTAACGGAACTAAACGCGAAAAGTACGGGGAAAAGTACTCCGGTGTGAACGCGGCTATTGTCTCTAAGATGCTCCACTCTGATCTGAAACATGAGTATTTTTGTTCCTCTTGAGACTCACGAGTGTGAACTGGCCGTAAACCAGCAGGTATGTGCTGCACACGAGTGCTAACAGCTAATGCTAACTAGCTCTCCTCGTGCAATTTCACCACATATTTCTAGTTCAAAACGTACATTTATCAGGGAAAATAATGGGTGCAACACTCGGAAATGTCTCCTATGTGTGGTTAAGATGCTCCACTCTGATCTGAAAGTATTTGTGTTCCTCTTGAGACTCACGAGTGTGAACTGGTCGTAGACGTGCATCAGGTCCTCGATCTTGTACTGCTCCAGCACCACGAAGTTATCGAGGTCGGCCCGCCGGGCGCAGTCCTGACAGTGAACCACGTACGTCTTCCTGCTGTTGCTCTCCGTGGTGACCAGCAGCAGGTCGAACACCTCCACCTGCAGGGGGGGGGGGAGACAGAGGGGTCAAGGGTCATCAAACAACACGTAGGAGAAAAATCTGCTTACATTTATCAAAGTCAAAGTCAACTTTATTGTCAATCTTTGCGTTTGTGTGTACAGACAGAGAGATTGAATTCCCACAATCCCGATTACAAAATACAAATATATATAAAAATATGTATATATCTATATATACACAATCAACAGACACATTTATACATATGCACACATTAAGACATACATAAAAGCACAACAATCAATATATACAAAATAACAGTCACTTCAATAATGAAGCACAAACTCCATGTTACTCCAGCGTTCACACTCTGATCAACGACCTCTCACGTTACTCTCACTTGGATGAGCACGACTGTTTATGTGTTCGGTTTTCTTTGTACTCTTTCTGTTCTGATTTTATGGCAAGCGTCTTTGAGCATTAGGAAGAGCGCTATAAAAATCCAATGTATTGTTATTATTACAAAGTGCTTCATGAAGTTAGAAAAAACCCACAAGTGATTAATCAGATATAAAAGAAAACAATGGACTATTTGGTGTTTAAAGATCAGGGAAAGCACTCATTGGTTTTATTATAAGGGATTTAACACTAGAACCGCCAATGGGGTCAATTTGACCCAGAGCTGTTTTTTATTGTGTGTAACTTTTTTTCAATAAAATATTAAAGTCTCCCAGTCCGTGACTTTTCCTGAAAGTGTGTTATGTAGCACCCTATGTTGTTAAAAATTGTCAATATGAAGTCAGATTGAAGAAATCGCTCAAAAAATTGCCATTTATACCTATTTCCGCCCAGCGGGTCATATTGACCCCACCCCTTTTCATATAAACATGACGTGTTGCTATAGCAACGCCTTTTGTCTACTGCGGTTCCTTATAGACTGAGAGATAGATTGAGAGAGAGAGAGATAGATGGATAGATTTTGTGAGAGAGAGAGAGAGAGAGAGAGAGAGAGAGATTTTGAGAGAGAGAGAGAGAGAGATTTTGAGAGAGAGAGAGAGATTTTGAGAGAGAGCGAGAGAGA